AAAGGTAAGTGACATATTCCATTGGATGGGGTCTCTGAGAAGGAAGGAGGAAGTGTATCTGCAGAGTACACGTGCTGGAATTAGCTTTAGGCCACCAGGAGATACCTTTAAGTTCAGTTCAGATGGGTAATATAAAAGCTACTCCCTAATTTAAAAAGCTCTAAACGTTTCTTATGTTTAAAATTTAATACAAATGCCTCTAAATTTAAAATAAAATACCCTTTTAAATTACTGAATTACTCCCCCCACCCCGCCCCACAAAAAAAAAAAAAAAAAACTAATAATAGTCAAAGCTATAGGAAAAGAGTCCCCAACCCCCAGGCCACAGACAGGTAGCAGTCCGTGGCCTGTTAGGAGCTGGGCAGCACAGCAGGAGGTAAGCATTACCGCCTGGGCTCCACCTCCTGCCCAATCAGAGGCAGCATTAAATTCTCATGGGGCACGAACCCTATTGTGATCTGTGCATGTGAAGGATCTAGGTTGCATGCTCCTCATAAAAATCTAATGCCCAATGATCTGAAGTGGAATGGTTTCATCCCAAAACCACCCCCCACCCCTTCACCTGGTCCATGGAAAAATTGTCTTCCACAAAACCAGTCCCTGGTGCCAAAAAGGTTGGGGACTGCTGCTACAGAAGGTAGGCTGAAACTGGAAAGTATATAACTTCTTGATAGTCTTTTAATTTGGTACAACCCTTTGGAATCAATTTGCTGGTATGTATCAAAAATGTAAATATTCACACTAATTATATTTCTGGGAATCTAGCCCAAGAAACATTATAAAATATTGTTACACAATATTTTTTACATTTTAAAAATATGTCCAGCATATGTTTCATGCCTTTTCTAAAGATTTTCTCAAGCCTCCTAGCAACAGTAACCTCACTTTTCTTAAACACCTATAGCACTTGCCTGTACTACTCTACTATTCCTTTGGCACTTTGTATATGGCATCTTCCCAACAGTACCCAGAGTAATATTTTTAAGTGTTATAGGACACATCCTCTATTTTCTCTGCCGAGGCAGTCAATTTTTCTGTCCAGAGCAAAGGAATATATCCACCATGAGACTCTGTGCTTTAGCTTATCTATTTGTCAATCATTAAGAACATTATAATGAGACTATACTAGAAATAACTGTTAGAGATTAGAAACAAGAAAATGTTGCTAGAATGCCTGAAATAGTAACCCTCTGGGTTTTAGCAACTGAAAGTTGAACTATTTCATACACTTTTCATACACAGTGACTTTAAACGGCACATTTAAAAAATTTATCTCAACCAGGAAAGTTTCTTCTAATACATTTTAAAACATTCCTTCTAAAAGAAAAGGCTGGCTTCTAGAGAAGTAGGTAAAGGAAAGTTTCATATCCTTGCAAGGAGAATTGGCAAAATGAAATAAAAGGAAAAAATATCTAAGATCAAGTGGAAGATTCAAATCTGCTTCTTTACTGTTAAACAATTACTCCTACAAAAAAGTGAATATTCTGTAAGAAATGTAATTAATATTCAAAGACTGTCAAAAACACAAAAGCCTTTTATCCCTCTATAATCTAATAATTAAAAGGAAGAAGTAATAGTTCAAAGATGAAGCTTCTATGGTTTGACCCTAAAAGAGAAAAAGAAGGAATCAAGAGACCAGATAGTATCAAAGATGACAGCAGTAAAGAAATAAGAAACAGAAATGGTAGTTCTTCATATTATAAAGGGGGTAAACTAGGAAAGGCATTGTTACCAGCAAAAAATTACAACTCAATTACACTAAAAAGATCTTGAGATGTGTTTTATGCACCTAGCTGAATAATGATATTTCAGTGATTACTGTTTGGGATAATAGTCTGGTAATTGGCAGAGTTCCCTCCTCCCCACTACAGGGGTCTTTTTAATCTAAAGAAAAGACAAGCAATCATCAAATACACTGATGCTATATACAAAGATGGCTGGCTACTACCCTATTATAACCAGGTTTTACAAATTCCATCACTAGCTTATAATTTTAATTATAGAAATCACTGAATTCTGTTTAATGTTTTTCTTTACATACCCTAATTTGCACTTTTAAAGTTAAGGCATTTTCAAGGAATCAATACATTAAAATTTCATAATTTATACATTTTATAGAATTCAAATTAGGCTGCCATATAAATGACCTGGGCATAGGATGTTGGTTATAAAAGACAGAATTATTATTTTTAATGATTGCTTCTCGTCTAAATTAAACATTTCAGATCTTTTCACAGTAAAGCCTAGTTAATATTCAGAAGCCTAATCCTAGTTATAGGCTTCAAAATTCAACACTTTAAAAGGAATTACAATATCATTATCTTGAACATCTTATTAAAAGAATGTGATATAAAGAATAAAAACATTTATATCTATGGAAACCTCAAAAATAGAAACCTCATTGTCTAATTCGTTTACTCTATGATAAAAATAACTCCTCCAATTGGAATATTTGGCAATTTATATTACCAACCGAATTCAATGAATCTAAGTAATGGGTAGCAAAATTGGAAGAATCATTTTTGCCTATGTATATTGTGCCAACGATCTCCTCAATTACAATAGCTGATTAGCAGTCATCTGCCATATGTATATCAAAATAGAATTAAAACTAACATCTTTCCTTTACTAACAAACTGAATCTAAACTGGAAAACTTGGGATAACAGATCATGATTTTTAAAACATTAACATGAAAATTGTCTTTTTTCTATTTTCCCATATTCTGCCCAGTGCACAGTCCTATTGGTGAGACAGTGGTCAAATATTACCTCACTTCTTACACTGAAGATAAAGAAAGAGGAAAGACAACTAATGTCTTAGCACAATCAAAAGCATCCAGCAAAAATTGTCAGGTACCATAAGGATAAAGTAAAAAACAGCCAAAGCTTTTGGAGAAGTGGCCTGCTAAATAATTTTAAACACTTCCTGTCTATGCAAGCTAAAAGGAAGATTAAACCCTCAAAAGATCTGGGTTGAAATGACATAAGTTTTTTGGGGAGAGATGGAGGAGATGGAACTTAGGTTTTTGGACACATACCTTTCATTTGAGAATAATCTCATACACCATAATAAAAGAAGGAAAACTTAAAACTATTCAACATACCAAAGAACAAGGAGCAACTAGTCTGGTTATTTCAACTTTAAAACTGTAAGTTACCAGTATCTCTATAGCCAGATAAACACCCAGTAAAAAATTACCAGAGTTTTTTAAAACTGTGACTGAATTTAGGTGCAGAAAATAATTAAATTACTGTTAAAATGGACAGAATTTGCTAATCAGTTGATCTTTAAATAAAATATTTGGGTTTATAGACTATATTGAGAATGATTTGGCAAAGAAAAGATGAGGATCAAATCTATTAAATACTATCTGATCTCATAAAGAACTCAAATTTCCAACGTGGAATGATATTATTAATTAAAGATTACATTCCACCTTCTTTATCTTTCAGAATTTTTGAAGCAAATCTGTTTTACCCAATTACATACTTTCAAAATTTTCCATTAACAAATATCTTTGTGGGGAAATGATTTTTAAATCACCAAAAAGTCAAAGGACAAGATGTTCAAGACTTTAGATAGTATCTGAGAAAGAATACAACCAGGGAACGGCTTTATCAAGGTGGACAAAGTTCAGAATGCCAGAATTCCTTCCCTGTTGTAATGAATATACTGCAACTTCCTGTGGTTTTGTGACTATCACTGGGTGTGGTAGTAAAACAGAAGGGAAAAGCCTCACACAGAAAGCTGAATGGCCCAAAGAAAACCTAAGTGGTGACAAGAGGCTAAAGGCACATGCAGGTACGCATCTTTTATGTTGGATGTGATACACTTACATGGCCCCTGTTGAATCTCTTGGGGACCAACAGTAAAGCAAGTTTAGAACTTCAAATCTTGAGACATCTATAGCAAGATGCTGATCCAATGTGGCTCCAAATATCTTCTGTTTTCCTGGCTCACCTGAAGAGGAAAAAACACTACAGAGGATGTGGGAACTGAATTTCTTTATGTAGTTTCTTCTAGAGCAACTGTCTGAAAGTTTTGGCCCAATCCTTTATGAAGTCTGGAGATGAGACACTTGAAGGACTAGTGAAAAACAAAATTCAAATGAAAAGGTGGAGTGAGACATCTAAAAGGGGAATACGAGAGCAAAAGATAACCGTCGTAGGTAAATCAGTGTTTCTAATCCTTAGCTGGACTCAGGTGGGAGGAGGCAGAGAAAGGAGAGAAAAAAACGCACAGATGTTTCTCCCTCCACTCCCTCACCCCAATTGCTACTAAAAATTCATGAACTACCTAGGCTTTTTGACCACATTTAGGGAGCGAATAAGCAAGGTTACGTGGAAGGTTTAAGCATTTTGTCCAGTCTCCCTCCCCGGGCTATATGGCATTAATAGGCTGCAGGGAGGCCTTTCAGGTAATGCTTTTTTTCTAAGAAAAGATTCTAGTGGAATACAGCTTGAAGCAATAAAGAAAGAGAAAAATAAATTGAATTTGTACAAAAATGGAAGTCACAGGACAATATACCAGATTGACAAAGTTTATCTAATTCTGTTTTTCAAAAGGGGTGGGACAGATTTCACAAAATAAGAAATCAGAATAAAAAGTAGTCTTAGCTTCCAAATAATAGAAAATATTTTTAAACTAAGCAACACAAACTACATGCTTCATTCTTCTATGAAATATTATCCTTGGAAAGATAATCTTTAAAAAACTAAGATTAGCAGAACCAAGTCTGATGTATATTACCACACGAAAAGCATAAAAATTTAGTCCATATTATGAATTAGATTCATTCTTAATTGACTTATTAAATATTTTCTTAAAAATATTTTACCTAAATTTTGCATACTCCAGCATTCATGTAATAGCCTAGGACATAAAACAATTTTCTTTCCAAATACACTCCATTTTAGCCAGAATTTATTTGAATTATGTCTGGTAAAAATACCAGCATTTTTCTGAAAAATAAGATTGGAGAAAGAATTAGATCCTTACCTGACGTGGCTGTTCATTCATTCGTTGAGGGTCTGATTTCACTTTATTACTAGGATGATTTGTGACTTTGGTTACCGGTTGTTTGAAAATTGATGCTGTTTGTCTAATTGGCAATGTTGTATTCAAGTCTGGTTTACCCTGTGAACATAAATTTATTTTTATTTAAAATTATATAAACACAAGCAGATGACTTCTTACAAATTCAATATCTATTACTTTAAATCAAATTATTCCAAACTTCTCAGTCTATCGCAGCATTTTAAATACTCTAAAGTACATTTGAAGCACCTAATACGTCACACATGCACGAAGTTTCCTCATAATAAATGAAAAACTTTTTGTATACATTTTTTTCTTTTGAGACGGAATCTCGCTCTGTCGCTCATGCTGGAGTGCGGCTCACTGCGAGCTCCACCTCCCGGGTTTACTTACGCCATTCTCCTGCCTCAGCCTCCCGAGTAGCTGGAAGTACAGGCGCCCGCCACCACGCCTAGCTAATTTTTTGTATTTTTAGTAGAGACGGGGTTTCACCGTGTCAGCCAGATGGTCTTGATCTCCTGACCTCGTGATCTGCCCGCCTCGGCCTCCCAAAGCACTGGGATTACAGGCATGAGCCACCGCGCCTGGCCAGCTTTTTGTATACTTTTAAGTGTGAGAAAATTCTCTCCATAAATTTCGTATCTGATTAGCAGGTACTAGTGACTTTAAATGAACAAATATGTTTAAGGCTGGTTTATGCAAAAAAAAAAAAAAAAAAGAAAGAACTTGGGGTTTTGTTTGTTTGTTTAGGGACAGGGTCTCACTCTGTTGCCCAGAGTGGCGCCCAGTGGCATGATCATGGCTCACGGCAGCCTCGACTTCTTGGGCTCAAGCAATCCTCCCACCTCAGCCTCCCGAGTAGATGGGACTATAGGCACGTGCCACCGCACACCAGGCTAAGTTTTTGTATTTTTTTTTGTAGAGATGGGGTCTCCCTACATTGCCAGGCTGATCTCAAACTCCTGGACTCAAACAATCTGCGGTCCTCAGACTCCCAAAGTGCTGGGATTACAGGTGTGAGCCACCACACCTGGCCAAGAACTTTAAGGATAACAATCAGGATAGCAACCATTTCTACATTCTGAGAATGGAGGGAAATATTGGCATACTTGGGCATTAAAATATAAACAACCTGATCAGCAATTAGGAGGCCAGACTTACATAAAACCACATAAATTAACCTCTTTTATATAAAAATAGGTAAGTAGAAATGGTAGTTGTAATTCCAGCAAACAGAACTCAATTTAGAAAAATGTGATGTGTTCCTTATTTTTAATATACAGAAGGTCTTTATAATGTCGTTTTGTTCAATGTCATTTTGTTATAACAATGATGAGAAAAAAATAATCCATTCCCAGCCTAAGCCCATCTGTGTGACGTTGGCATGTTCTCCCCAGGTCTGTTTGGGTTTTCTCTGTGTACTCCTGTTTCCTCCCACATCCCAAAGATGAGTGCACTTTAGGTTCAGTGGTGCATCCATATGGTCCCAGCCTGAGCAAGCGTGAGTGCAACCTGTGATGGGAAGGGGTCCTGTCCAGGGTGGGGTCCCCGCCTGGTACCCTGAGTTGCTGGGAGAGGCTCTGGCCACCCACGACCCTGAACTGGAATCAGTGGGTGAATAATAATCTTGTTTATATTAATCTTTCTTAAATGTGTGGAGAGCTCACACTAATTTCAGTGTTTATCATTAGAAGTGTTTTGGTCTTTATTTAGAAGTTTGGGATGTTTTGTGACCAGAAATATGCCACAGGAACTTAATTTTTGTTTATATCAATTAGCCTAGAGTAAATATGTTTCATTACAAGTCATATGGCTAAAAGTCAGTTTCCGAGAACCTATCAACAACATTAAGTGAGGACTTACTGAATATTATATTTAATACTTTTAAAGGAGACTTAACACTGAAGCTTCGTAAAGCCACATAACTTATTTACCTAGTTTTAATCAATCAATCAATAAAATCTAAGATGTGTTCCAATGAGGTCAAAATGTGACCAGAATTGCTATTAAGTTAATTTGCAATATTCTTAACAAGAAAGAAAAGGGAGAAAACACAATTATTGTGTTTTCTGAGATTCTGGGAAAAAAGATGAAGTTACATATACCTGAAAACAAAATACATCTGATATATTTTTGATATTTACAGGATATTTGATGAACTTTACTACTACCCCACAAAGAAACTGTAGTGTCAACTTCCATGCTCCAAAACAGGGGTTCTCAAACCTGAGCATGCATCAGAATCACCCAGAGGGCTTGTTAAAACACAGATGACTGAGTCTCACCCCTGGCACTGGACTTTTGGCAGGTCTGAGATAAGGCCTAGGAATTTGCATTTCTATTAAGGTCTCAGGTGTTATTGATGCTGCTATGCCCGGGACCACACCTGGAGAAGCACAGCTCTACAACAAAGATTGCAACTTGATCACAGGTGGATCAAGTCCAACCCAGAGATGAGTGTTCATTTTTTAGTGCCTTTAATAAATTAAGTCACCACCCAAAAATCTAGAGTTTTCATATAAAATCCAGAATTCTAGCTTCTCTTAAAACCTGAAAGATCTAGAAATACTGGACTTGGTTTGGCAACAATAGGCTGTGACTGGTTAGAAATGGCTGTCCAGTAGTGGCCTCAGGGTCTCCTGTTGCAACATTCCTCAACAACTCATATTTGCATTACCTGTCTGGGCCCTATAGGCACTGAGTTTGTGACCTCTACTTGAAGAACATCAGCATGCCTAGAAAGATAAGCCTCACAATAATCTGACAACTATTACAATTACAGTATTCTTTAGATCCACTATTAAATGTGTCCTCACCTCTACACCTCCCCACACAACACAGCCCTCCTCTCTGTTTATATTGGGCAATCCTGTCATTCCTTTATCTCATTTTTCCCCCAGTGTCTCTGCTTACCTTTAAAAGACATACTCATCTTACATGACTCTAACAGTATTATTTCTAAGGTATTTAGCTTTATCTTTATGGATTGTCAAAAAATATATAAAATGTGCAAATTTGGCTGACAAGCTGCAAAGTAACCACTTAGGTTGCCAACTCTATAAAGTGTGAGGCTCAGGAGTATGCATTTTAAATACTCTCCTGGTCATTCTGTGATGCAAAGAAAGTTTGAACACCTCTGATATATGACATCTAGACCATTTGGAGGCCCTAAATGAAGTCATCCAACCTATTAATGACAACAGGCAATATTCAGTCCTTAAGCAGCTTCACACATAAATGCTTAGAGGGAGCTTCTTGTCACTAATTAGGTATAATCAATATGTATCACTAAATGATACCTTGTTTGGCTTTTAATGTTTTTGTTTTTGAGATGGAGTCTCGCTCTGTCGCCAGGCTGGAGTGCGGTGGCGCGATCTTGGCTCACTGCAACCTCCACCTCCTGGGTTCAAGCGATTCTCCTGCCTCAGCCTCCTGAGTAGCTGGGACTACAGGTATGCACCACCACACCCAGCTAATTTTTGTATTTTTAGTAGAGACGGGGTTTCATCATGTTGGCCAGCATGGTCTTGATCTCTTGACCTCGTGATCCGCTTGCCTGAGCCTCCCAAAGTGCTGGGATTACAGATGCGAGCCACTGCACCTGGACTTTGTTCTTAATAAAGAATGATATACTCTGCTGGTATTAGAACAAAGGTGGCATCACGTGTCTACTCAGTAGACACACAGAAGTATTTGCAACTGTCTGCATGAGTAAACATATTCAAACCTGTGAGATTCTCATTGTTACCAAGGATGACTGGAGGCAGCAGGGACTACTCTAAACTGTTTTAAACTATGAATCCTGAATCCATGAAGACTGGAAGGAAGCATGGAATATGTCAAACTATTGATGTTATTGATGCTACACTGGTAAGATGGGCGTTTTTCCATTCACTTATGTTTCTGTGCAATAAAAAAAAAATTAAAAGAAAAGCCTGGCTAAAATACTTAAGATATACAACTAACTTCCATTGTCTAATGAGACAGTTCATTCCCCACTGGTACAGAATGAGACATTATTCAAAATATGCTGCATTATTCTTCACTCAATCTTATTTTGGTTTTTAGGATTTTTTCTCCTTTTAACTGGCCTAGAAGCTCTGACAACAGAAAGAATATCTTTAATTTGGTTTTCTAAAACAGTATCACATGAAGCTGAGTAATCTGTAAAGCTGGACTAACTAGTTTTCCCAGAAACCGTCAATTCTATTACCTCTATCCTGAGGACTGCCCTGAGTCACTATTAATTTATACCCAGTTGTGTGCCTTTTTCTACAGTTTAGTTTAGAATCTAAAGGACCAATCTACCATCAACTTTGGAGTTAAAAGCCAGACACTTTTTTATGGGAAAAGATTAAAGCTTTTATGTATACGCAATCTTCTTATAACTTCAATATAAGAAAAAGTGAAGTGGAAATTCTTTGTTACAAAATTAAACTGGCAAACACATTCTAATATCAGAACTAAGTTTCCAACTTTTGAAAAATCTATGTACAGACTAGTCCTCAAATCAAAATGTAATAAATTTTATAATGTGTATATTAGGCTGAAAGTATTGTTCTTGAGGATCTATTTTATCCCCCTAGTTGCAGGGAGGAACATAAAATAAATCTTTATTTTTAAAAATTTTACTTCCTCTTTCCAATAAGTATCTGAGATATATCATTTGTACATTCCCAAAGGACAAAATACACAAAAATTAATTTTTAAAAACAGAAAATCAAGGACAAGGAAAAAACAGATATCTGTTTGAAAAGATCAGTAGTGATACTAGAGCTGAGCATCAAATGTGGATCTGAATTTTCAAGGGGCCTGGGCAGAGAAACATTCAATTACACAGATATCATGGTCAGAAAGGAGGACGCATACCAAGTAATGAGGAAAACAAAAAATGTCCAGGTATTAACTCTAGAAGAAAATGGATAAAGGCACTAAACTTCACAACAAATATTAAGCAGATTTCAAATGTTTTTTTCTTTTTTAGTGACTTTCCATAAAAACCAAGAACATAAGACTTAAAGGACAACTCAGTAAAGGTGCCTAATTATTGGCACCTAGGGCCTAATTATTGTATAATCTTCCAGTGATCTCACGTGATT